TTTGAACGGACGCAGATCGACTACCTGGGCCTGGTCATCTCAGAGGGCAGCGTCGCGATGGACCCCGTGAAGATCCGTGGAGTCCTTGACTGGCCGACCCCAACCAAGGTGAAGGAAGTGCAGTCCTTCCTGGGGTTCGTGAACTTTTACCGTCGCTTCATCAAAGACTTCTCCGAGAAAGCACGGCCCCTCCACACGCTGACCCGGAAGACCCAAACCTGGAACTGGGGCCCGGACGAGGACTATGCCTTCCACACCCTCAAAGAAGCCGTCACCACCACCCCCGTCCTCTCCTTCCCTACAGACACTGGCCGCTTCAGGCTTGAGTGTGACGCCTCTAACTTCGCAACCGGTGCAGTCCTCTCCCAACTCCAAGCGGACGGGGAGTTCCACCCGGTAGCATTCATGTCCAAGAGCTTCATGGACGTGGAGCGTAACTACGAGATATACGACAAGGAGATGCTCGCAATCGTCCGAGCCCTGGAAGAGTGGCGACACTTCTTAGAAGGTGCCGGGGAGAAGGTCGAAATCTACACTGACCACCGTAACCTGAGTTACTTCCGGACGGCCCAGAGGTTAAACCGGCGCCAGGCCCGGTGGACCCTCTTCCTCTCCCGCTTCTACTTCACCCTCGTCCACCGCCCAGGGAAACTCATGGGGAAGCCGGACGCACTCTCCCGTCGAGCCGACCACCCGAAAGGGAAGGACGACAACGAAGGGCTGACCCTCCTCCAACCAGCCTGGTTCGAAGCTCGCGCGACAGAGGCGGTCTCAGTAGAAGGAGAGGAAGCAGGCATCCTAGAGAGAATACGCGGGGCAAAAGACCACGATGAGAGGGTGGTAAAAGCTATACGAGAGCTGAGGGAAGGGACACTAAGATCGGACGAGTGGGAGGAGCAGGGAGACCTAGTCCTATACCAGGGGAGAGTGTACGTTCCAAAAGACCCCCAACTCCGTCACGATCTGGTACGGCTACACCATGACGCACGGGCGACGGGGCATCCAGGGCGATGGAAAACCTTGGAACTCGTCTCCCGTGACTACTGGTGGCCCCGGATGGCAGAGTACGTCGGGCGATATGTACGCGGGTGCGATACCTGCAACCGTGTCAAGTCGTTCCCCTCACGAAAAGTTGGGAAGCTCACCCCAAACAAAGTCCCCACCCATCGTTGGCAGGTGATCTCAGTGGATATGGTAGGGGAGCTCCCAGAGTCAAAAGGATACAATGCCATCCTCGTAGTGGTGGACCGCCTATCCAAACGCATCCACACGGTCCCCACTGTGACGACCGTGGACTCGGAGGGTATCGCACGGCTCTTCCTAGAGCACGTCTGGAGGCACCACGGCCTCCCTGAGGAGATCCTCAGCGATAGAGGGAGCGCCTTCATCTCCCGCTTCTCAAAAGAGCTCGCGGACCTCCTAGGTGTCAAGCTCACCCCCTCTGCACCCTACCACCCCCAGACGGACGGACAGACGGAGCGGGTCAATCAGGAGATCGAGGCCTACCTCCGGGTGTTCGTCAACCATCGCCAAGACGACTGGGCGGATTGGCTCCCCTTAGCGGAATTCTCTTATAATAACCGCATCCACTCCTCCACCCACCGAACCCCTTTCGAACTCGACACCGGCCAACACCCCAGGATGGGGACAGAACCCACACGCACATCTGAGGTGGAAGCCGCTGATGCATTCTCGTCAAGGATGATGAAAATGCAGGAGGAGGCGAAAGCAGCGCTGGAACACGCAGCGGACGAAATGGCCCACTACTACGACCGAGATCGCGAGACGGCCCCAAAGTATCAAGAAGGTGACCAAGTCTGGCTCAACGCGCAAAACTACACAACCAACTGCCCGACCAAAAAGTTGGACCACAAATGGCTTGGCCCCTTCAAGATCGTCAAAGTCGTCTCCCCGGCTGCCGTCAAACTTCAACTCACCGCACGACAGAAAGGAGTTCACCCAGTCGTATCCGTGACAAACGTCAGACCATACCACCCGGACGACATCAGGGAACGACCCACCGACCCACGCCCAGGCCCAGAGCTCGTAGATGGAGATGAAGAATATGAAGTCGAGAAAGTACTAGACTCTAAGTGGCTACGCCGGAAACTCTGGTATCTAGTGAAGTTTGCTGGCTGGCCAAACTCAGAGAACCAATGGCTCCAGCGGGACCACTTAGTCCATGCCCCCGACCGGATCGAGGAATTCCACAGGACGCACCCCCAGGCCCCGGGAAGAGAGAGGGAGAACCACCTGGCTGCTTCGAGGCGAAGCGGCTTAAGGAGGGGGTGATGTCAGGGCACACCCGCCTGACCCGGCCCCACCCGGCCCCACTTCACCCGGTACCCCGCCACCCAGTCTTCCCCTACCTCCTCCCCCCCTTCTTCTTTCTTTCTTTCTCCATTCCACTCTCTCTTTACTTATCTCACCTTCTCTTTATTTTCTCTTTATTCTACACGGACGACCTTTCCTTGTATCAATGTACCATTGACCCACCTGCAGCGCGCTCACGACATGCCCAGCCCGGGCGCCTCGGGCGACCCCCGCTATGTCCAGCTCGCGCGTTCACAGCGGACGCCCTCGGGATCCCCCACGGGGACACCCAGGTGACTACGGCTGTATGCGAGGATGACGTGGCACCCGTCATGTGACCTAAGCCGCATGTATATAAACATACCTGAAGTGGGAACCGAAGAAGTAGCCTTCTTCTCACCCTTTTCCACTTCAGGTAAGTAACATAGTATTCCCTTCTAATAATAATAACACCCTTTTCCACTTCAGTCCAAGTGGCCAGGGACTGCCTCCTGAGCCGGGCCCGCCAGTACGCACGCCCGCTCCACACCCCGCGAGGCTCCTAGTGTCGGGCGTCTCACCCGGGCCTCCTCTACCCCGGACGCGTCCCTGACACGAACCAATGCCGATTGTCATGGCCATGCATTCCGGCCCGTTAGCTGCCCGTCCCGATGCTGCCCGAGCCCGTTCCCGCTATGCGAGCGTGAGCGCGAGCCCCAACCTCAGCCCTATCCTCCATGAGGACTCCCTGCTCACTCCCCTGCTTGCCCCTAGGCTCCCCTGCACCTGGCCGACTTCCCCACAGCCACACCAACCTCCCTGCCCTGAGTCCACCTCTGGCACCGTGCCCAGCGCGACTCCCCTACCCCACCCACTTGGCCCCTACAGGGCCGCTACCATTCCCACGCCCGACTCCGGCCCAACTCCGAGTCCAGTGCCACTATGATACCATCGCCACTATCACGGCCCTACGCTCTTTCCTTTATTTATCTGTTATTGTTTGTTTTGACCCTCGGTCATTGCCGGCCGCTATGCGGCCAACCCCGCTCCTTGTTCCCTTTTGCTTCCGGACCCTCCGGCCTTCGGCCCGGGTCCGCTTCAATTCATTCTGCCTTCATATATACATATATCCTGTATACTACATTATAGTACTTTAGCTCTAATATCAATGTGACCACGACCCCTAAGTCCTGACCCCAACAAGGCAACCCCAGTGAGTCTGAAATGAGGGCCAAGAGACAGCTAGGGGGCACAGCACTCCCTTTAGAGTTGCTGAGGCCAAATGCCCTACCCCCGGGCCTTGTTCGCAGCATCACGGCCATCGCAGCCTATAGCGGCCCGCATAGGCGACCTTCGGTGCCGACCCCGGACCAGTGTCTAACACCGATAGGCGAATCCGCCGACCCGAAACCCATCCTAACCAGCCCCCAGTGAGACCAAGTCTCATCAGCTCACTCTGGGAATTAAAAAATCTGATGACAGCTGTTCCCTCCCTTCCCTTCCCTTTGGGTGCAGGTGCAAGGGAGGGAGGGAGGGCAAGGGCAGTAGGATAGGGCAACATCCTGTTGGAAAACAGTGCGCTAGCGCGGCCGTGCGAGTTTTCGTACAGCCACATTCCCACGGCCGAGCGAGGAACTCGCCCGGCCAGCCACATCTATTTATTCATTCTTTTGTATTCATTTCGGACTATCCCGCTCCCAAACTACATGGGAATTACCACTCTTTGAATCACTTTTTCCCTCAGTTCTCTTTCGCATTATTTGCTTGAGACTGAGGTTAGTAACATCATTCCTTTATTTCAATCTATACTTATATACTGTATATTACCTCTAGTTGCCCCGCTTTGCTATGTAATATATTCCAGTTCTCTTTCGCATTATTTGCTTGAGACTGAGTTGCCCTGCTTTGCTAGCAACCTCATATTACTTTACATCCACCCTTGGTCATAGGGTGAAATTTTTTCGACCCTACCGACCCTGGCTTGACCTATAATTAGGATGGTATTATCCTTTTACACTGAAACAAAAAGATATTTCAGACATAAGATGTGGAGAACAAGCTGAGCTGGATTTTTGGGGTTATAGTGCACAATGCAAACAAGGACAATTATGGATAACATTTCAAAATACCGAGGCAAATAGAGCAAATAAACAAAACATATTCGAGAAAAAGTCCAGTGCACGTGCAAGGACATGTGACCTATTGTCCGTTCCACTATGGGGCGTTACTAGGTTTACTGGATACTCCCGCGGGGATTTTGAGGTAAGGGCACGGATATCCGATTCTCGAATTTAACGCGGATACTGCCAAAGTCTCATATCCGAGCTCGGATATCATTTCGGATATTTTGCCTCAAAACGCAGTGATTGTAGGAGACTGAGGATGAATTGATTGGGGAGCAGAATATTATATACTGCCTTGAATACTAGACAACACAGTATGACAAATTATATTAACTGACGGCCTCTGGTACACGTGTGGGGGACTCGTAGTACCCCAAATGCTGATCCTGTTTATGACTCCGGAAGAGCAAGCGGAGAATGAGGCCTTTGGGGCGTCCAACAGGATCTCTTAGCAGTGCCGTACGAGTACGTAGTCAGACCCATATGATGACTGATCTTGAACTTCATTGGATGCATTACATGACAGAAAACACAACAAGTTGACAAACTCCGAAAGTGTACATGTGACGGAGCAAGGCGTCGGCCGAACCAACAAATAGATCGTAAAAAAAAATCTACCGGCCAAGTAGATATGAGGAAAGGGTGTCGGCAGCGATTGCATCGATCCCACGTTAAGGTTGATGATTAGCCAAACTTCCGACAGCCTAATCACCTAAGCAGCCATGAGCAGTGTGGATCTGGAATAGCAATACTATATAACACGCACTCTCCGGTTCTACTTAGTGCCAGGTATGCCTCCGGAAAGCTCACTCGCGCGCAGCGATGACATTAACCAAACTGGATGACAATAACGTGAGTATGGAGACACGGTCAAATCACCAACGACTCGTACAGTGGAAGGTCAGCAGTTCTTTTGGGTTCTAGTCTGAGAATGAGCTACGACATGAAGATTCATTGGATATTTGGAACTCACTTGAACCCTTACCGGCAAAGGGGTAATCGGTGGGTTGAAGTCGTTTCACACTTTCATCTGCAGGATACAGTTCCCTCACGTCGTGCCCATGGGGTGGGAGAGCCGCTGAGAGAGACACCAATGTGGCCAAAAAAATTATGACGAGAGGTTTGGCTAGCAAATTAGCGAACATTGTGTCGAGTTCCCTCCTAAGGGGAATTTATAAGGGCTAGACGGCCTCAAGGGCGCCCTTAAATAGGGAGAGGAAGGGGCTGGTTTGATTTCAAGCAAGTAGAAGAGACTGGAAACCCCCAAGTAAAATGGTGATATAATTGGAACGTTGGCAGCCGGAACATAGTACGTCTGCCAGGTGTAGGTTCTTGCATCGGTGT